GTAAAACGAGCAAGAAACGGGACCGTTTAGGCGGGCGCACGTAATCGACGTGCAAAAATGCAAATGACTCGTTGGAAGAAAGGAGGGAGATGGGAGGGGGGAGGAAGGGAGGGAGAATTTAATCCAGGCCGATTCTGCCTCCCTCGCTCGCTCTGCTTGGAAATATTTCCAAGCAGAGAGAGAACCGGGCACGTCCGCTTTCGACGTTTCAAGGATGGATCTCGATGAATCTTCGGCGAGCACAGTATCCGACCGGATAGATTCAATTATCGGACGACGAATGGAATTATCCAAATCCGATATCGGCCGTTTCGATCGGCGTTGCTCGAATCGTCTCGCTTGCGAACAAATTGGAATCAGAGCCCCGTCAATGGCTCGCCAATGGAGCGGTGCTTGCCGGATAAAGCGAGCGCGTGATAAGTTTGTACAGGGTGTTTCGTTCGACGAGAGTAAGCACCCTCGGAGGAAATTTTCTTTGTACGTTAGAGAGGGGGTGGGGGAAGGAGTAACGATCGCGCTCTTGTCATCACGGGTTCGAATGTTTCTCATCTCATACCGACGAATAGACTTTCACTTTCGCGATCCCCGCTTTAAGTATCTTTTTATACGTAACGAAGCATTTAGTCTATTTCAAGCGACGTTAACAGAACTTTTCATACGAAATACGTTAGAAATTGATGGACTTGAAGCCTGTTTTGTTGGAACCTAGGATCTAGAATGAGAGTCCGCTTCGAAATTATCCGGTGATTTAAACAATTAAGAAGGTTCTATCTTCTTAGGAATTGGACCAGAGTAGGTTATACGTTTTTCACCTTGACGAACAAATGCGTAAGACACGAGAGAAAAAGTTACGAGAATTAACTTAACTCGGTTTAATGCGGGCGTAGAGTATATCCTGCCAAGAGTATGCCGAGTTGAGAAAAAAAGAAAGAGGATTGAACGTGAAGGGACGCGAGGAAGGTCGAGGGTGGTACCGGAATGCTAATGAGGAAGGTCGGTGGATGAAAGTATCAAGGACACTCCAGGGTCACTCATGTTTTGCGCTGAAGCTGGTTAAGGGAGCACGCACGATAAGTGACCATTACGTATTTAAATTTAAACACGTCCCTACCAGCTGAATAAAGATGACTGAAATTTTACTCGAGGCACACATGCTACGCTGTCTAGGACAGATGAAACACTCTGTGTGGTACCACTGAAGCGAATACAATGGAACGAGAAGACACAATGCGAGAAAAATGACTCGTATTCGAACGATTTAACACAAATACAACAAACGCTCGTGACATTTATTTAAAGAGCGTACCGGGGGCCATTTTTCTAATCCTATGAAATATTCATCCCCGATATATACATATCTCGTGGTGAGTCGTTGTTAGCGCAGCGTTCTTCTTAA